TATCCTCTTCTGTCCCCAAGGTCATCCAGTATCTTCTTACGTCTTCTTCCTCGTCTTCTTGTCACTTCTATCCGCCTCTCTATCTTTCCTTCGATAACTTCTTTTAGAAGGCAGTTTCTGCGTAAAACATGACCAATCCAATTAGCCTTCCGTTTTCTTATTTCGTGTAGGATATTCCTCTGCTCACTGACTCTAATTAACACTTCTTCATTTCTCACATAATCGGTCCAACTGATCTTCTCCATCCTTCTCCAACACCACATTTCGAAACTTTCCAGATGTTTCTGATCTACTGCCCTAAGTGTCCATGTTTCAGCCCCATACAGAGCTATGCTCCAAATGTAGCATTTCACTAGTTTCTTCCTCAAATTTAAGTCCAATTTGCTGGTAAAAAGATTCTTCTTCTTGCTAAATGCAGCTTTTGCCATGGCAATCCTGGATTTAATTTCACAAGTACACCTTCCATCATCTGTTAACAAGCTACCCAAATATTTAAAACATTTCACATTCTCCAGTTGTTTCTGGTCTATCTTTATTGTGACTGGGGTTGGTTGTCTCGAAATTTTCATTACTTTTGTTTTTTCCCACATTCATTTCATTGCCATAGCACCTTCCAATTTCAATTAGTCTATCAATCATACATACAACAACAGAAAATCTCTAGGACACGGTGTTTCTTATTCGGTCTTTATCGTGTAAAATACTCTGAATGTTTTGAAAGAAAAGTTGACGATTACTTCTTCCCAGTACTTCTAGCCCTGTACTCCATCCATCGGAAACTTAAAGAGTTTTGAACGTTTTAGTAAAGTTAACTGGCGAAAAATATAAATAATGAATAATAATGTATTTTATGTGGCACAGATTCAGATATTCGTTTTAAGGTAACATTAATCCATCTGTTTCCACAGAGAGAAGTAAAGTTTGAAATACAAACAAAGCAACGAACACAGTAAAAGCTTCATGTGGTGGTTCTCAACTAAGTTCCGCCCGGTTGTTCTTACAAAAGTGCCCATCCTCTCAGAAGTTAGAAGTGATGCCACGGTACCATCTATAAAGTTTAGTGCTTCACGTACCAGTATCGAAATTGCTCCGTCCTCAGCTGTACTTTACAGGTAATGCGAACTTCTGAGGTTCTCACGAAGCTGATTTTTAAGATTANCACGGCGATGACTATGAAGAAAGTCGTCTTCTGCGATCTGGCGCCTTGTATTCTTGGTTTTAACCGACGTTTCGGAGGAACGTATCGCCTTCATATTCAGGGCGGCTGCATTGCAGCTATTGCTCTCTGTATTCGCATCGCGATTCACCTGCTCTGAAGATGAAGGCGATACGTTCCTCCGAAACGTCGGTTAAAACCAAGAATACAAGGCGCCAGATCGCAGAAGACGACTTTCTTCATAGTCATCGCCGTGAAAACCTCAAAACTTATCGATTCTTCTTTACTCCTTACCTTGGACATGATGAGCACACTCGTAACTTCCTTATGTAATTAAGTATACGGTATTTATGAATCTAAATACGTACTTTAACTCTGAAGATGGCCGCACTATATTCCTCCGAATCATCAGTATCCATCCACGGTTTCACAACATAGAAGACTAAATTCTTGATAATGTGAACACACTTTTTGCTATACGAGCTGCTCTGGCTATATTAGCTGTGAAACGAAATAGACTTTTGTACTGTGGACAGTTTTTGGTTACTGAGCACAAAAGAGTAAAATCCTTCCGACCAGCACTGTAGGTTGCTATGCTTTTCGTTTTTTGGGCCCCTAGTGCGTGTATCATTATTTTCGTGAGCACCAAATATGCGGTTTTGTTTCAGGTTACGTTCCCTATGAAAATCTGAAGTTAGGTTCGTAGACTAAGATCTGTTCTTTCTTTCGTAAAACGCGCGACATTAGGGACGAACATTGGAAATGCACGCTGGCTTTCCAATCCGTGAGCTGAGGAAAGTTGTAAGATACTCAAGGCATATTTAGGAATTACAAACGGAATTTAGCCCTTGATGTGACAATGAACTTTAGACTATTGTAATCTTCATGGATATAATTATTATTCCCATGAACAAAACAACAAAACACTGCAGAATTTATGTGTTACAATTCTGATGATCTGTCCAATATAAAGGGGACTGAGACAAGGCTTGAGCCCTTAAGAACTTCACTACTTGTTTTAAATTCCAACCCATAGAACGGTTTTGTATATAGGTCAGGTTTCATCTCTGACCTGCCTTTGATTCCGCTGCCTTCACGACTCCATGAAGCCAGACCAGTTCCATCTGACATCACTCAACGTATAAGCCCTTTTATCTTGGCCCGTTCCACTCAAGTCACTACTCACGTGCTGATCTGGACTGGAAATAGATAAGACCTCACTCGAGCCAATCTCAATATCTGCTATCCCTTCTTTTTTTTCTTTTCCTTGGCACTACAGCCCCAGTGGGCCTAGGCCTACCTCCATGAACTTCTCCGTTCACTTCGGTTTTTCTAGATGTTACACATTCGGCAGGACTCCTTGGGCGAATGATCAGCTCGTCGCAAGGCCTCTACCTGTATACAAACACAGAAAAACGCACACACACAAATTAACATCCATGCCCTGAGTGGGATTCGAACCCACGATCCCGGTTTCCAAGCGAGCGAAGATAGTACATGCCTTAGACCGCTCGGCTACCGTGACCGGCGCTATCTCTCCCTATGGGAAGCCAGCGACTAACCGCTTGAGCTACGGCGCGGCCCTAAGATTTTTGTGTAATTTGCGAATCGCATTTCCGTATATTGTCAGGGACGGAGCCGTAAAGCTCCGACTTAAATTCTCTCCTTTGTTCACAAAAAGTCCATATTCTATAACTTTACCTGTTTCACTCCCCTAAGCTTTACCCTCTTTCAAAAGTACCTCTGTTAGAAAGGCGAGAGGGCACTGTCTGGGAACCGTCAATACCAGAGATGAACTTTTCTTCCTCCTTCCCTCAGATGTACTGCTTCACCCTACCCACCACCCACTTTCTCTTCTCTCTCCTTCTCTCTCTCTCCAAGTTTTGTAGAATCAATGGAGTTCCCTATACATCCGCCAGGAAATATTGACTGTGATAAATCCTGGGGCATCGGTTGGATGTAGAATTGATTACACAAATGAAGGACGTTGTGTTGTAACGTCTGTAATCCATTGTCTCGAATATTAACTGACAGAATAATTATCCTATTTCTTCTCGAGACTCTACTCATACCTCCTGGAATGGAAACGTTACTCGAAGACTATAATGTCCTAAAGAGGAAGCTTCCTTTTCTCAAACTTCTCTCAGCTATTTTTTTCGTTATACTTTCCATATCATCTTGCATATTTTCATTCGATGCTGTATAATCCGTTCAGTTCAGAGACTATCATTTTTCTTAGTTTTGTTAAAATATTTATTATCAGTTTTGTTGTTTAATTATTTTCAGCTGCATAGTCACAGCTCAACATTAGATTATATAATAACAAATTATGAATTGGAGACGACGTGAAAAGAAACTGTCATGACTCTCCCAAATACTCTCCGAGTCTTCGTTTGGAAACTCTAAGAAAAGTTTATCAGAACAGCTGGTTCCCGCGCTGATATTGGAACTTGGGACCTACAGCATGAATAATGGGCACTTAACTGGGAAACTCGATTAAGTTTTCATGTACATGACACAAAAAAACGATAGAGAAACAAAGAATTCACACAGTCGTATGGCTGGGAATCCCATTGAACCATGCCTTAATGACCTGTAGACGGCAGGACAGCATCAAAATGTCACTTAAGAAATAAAGATGCAAGAATATACGTTAAAAATACTGTCCTATGATTGGGCCCGGTGGATCTTATGTTTGAAATATTCTGTCTTCTGAGATGTGACGTTGAGAGGACCGGTGGTCCAGCCACACTCCGGCAGAATTCACTGCCTCCATCTTCAGTAAGACAAGCAAGTAACCAAAAATAAGCAAGCAGCTTCATATGTCCTGCTGGTTACTTACCCTGAAATTGTAGGCAGCACACTTTTCCGATATATCGGTAAAATGTTATGGGACTTCACAGAATCACATCTCACGAGAGAGTACTCTTCATAGCCACCACAACGGGAACCTCAAACTCAAAATTTAAAATTATTTAAGTCGACGAGTGTGAATAGTGGAGAAGGCCACTGTGGTCTAGTGGTCAGAGTTTATAGCTATAAATCCAGAGGCCCGGGTTCGATTCTCTGCGCTGCTAGATTTTCTGAAAAGTAGTGTGTCTGGAACGGGTCCACTTAGCCTCGTGAGGATAATTGAGGAGCTATTTCAAGGAAATAGCGACTTCGGTGTAGAAAACAGAAAATAACGCCCGTGGGGATCCGTTGCGCTGGCCACGTGGCAGCCTCTATCCGCTAAAGATGGCACTAACTTCGCCGACAAGCGGCGATCTCTCGGTCGGTATAGTTCGCTTGCGGACTAAAGGCCACGGGGTTTATGAATAGTGGGACTCCACATGTCCCAGAATTTACTTCCTTCTTCTCACGACTGTATCGATGTATAGAATGTGTGGCATCACATAATAGAATGATGAATTTCGAACGAGCTGGAAGGACATTATCATGGGCTAACACTGTCTCAGAATTTGCCTTGAGGCAATGAAGAAAGCCAAACAAATCTCAGTCAGTAGCCGGTGTCCCAGCCTGGATTTTAACCGAGCACCTACCGACTACAAGTCAAGGACGTCACCGCTACACCAGGCCGCATGATGTTCCAACTGCTTACTGAATAGTCAGCACCTGCTCATGTTGGTTCCTCGCTCGCAGATTTTCTTCTTTTTTCTTATACATTCTTCTGAAACGTCGGTTAACACACTATCTACAAGGCGCCGCATCCCAGAAGACTGCTTTCTGCTTTATGAATGCTTTGTACCATGAAGTCAGTTCTCCCCTTTAAGTTTATGCTACAACATTGCCGTCTCAAGTCCGAGTCTCGAATGTGTAATTGGGGGACATGTGTTTCAGGTGTCGCGAATTGCATGTGATGGAGCCCCTTGGTTTCTAAGTCTGGGATTGAATTGAGTTTCTCCATTAACAAGTGAGCGACATGGGAGGTCCCGGTGATACCTGAGTGACGGCGCCAGAGCCCCTGGGAGATCGGCAGCCAGAGCGCCACGTGACACTTCCCAAGGTAGGTGACAACCTGTCTGTGTAAGCGACCAAGATTATATTCGACATGAAGCTGAAGTAATCGACACCCTGACACGGCGTGTTTAATTATTTTGATGACGGTTGTAAATTTGATTTAATTTGCAGGTGATTTAGAAATAGAATTTTATATTTTCACTTTATTTTCAGAAGTCTATAACGCGTTTAAACAAGGTTTTAGTATTCACTTAACTATAAATGGACATCTTATATTTTTTCTTTGTAAGTATTCTTAACAAATATTCGTCTTAGTTATTAACGGAACAGAGAAAACAACACTACAATGACTGAAACAACTGTAATTTTACATAGAAATTAGAACAAAAAGAAATTGTTATACCTATATTCTCTCTAATTCATCCAGTTTAATCGTGGATTTGCGATTATTATACCCCAAGGAACTGAATATATTTCTAATCTGAAATATAAAAAAATTTGAGATAAAACCATTAAGAACTAAGGTAGTAATATACAACATTTTAGATGTTTTAGATTATAGATTTAGATTTCTAAACAGACCGAGAATAAATGCCCTGCACCGTTGCACGTTATTGTCCACAGGGAAATAAAATCGCACATGGCTGTATTTTTGGTACGTTTTAAGCTATGGCTGTCTGTTCGGATGAGCTAATAGACACGAAATTGGGTGCTCAGTAGTCTCATGCGCCAACTTGACCTAACCCAATCTAACCAAGGTCTGCTTGAATGCGGAGGCAATGGACAGTGGTCCAATCTACTAACCGAAACGTACTCAACGCAGCCTAAAGTAACCTAGACTTATAGGATCCAGTTTTTGAAAATTTAAAGTACTGAAGGTTTTTTAATATTCCTAAACATGAACATTTTCTAAATTATGAAGGAAATAAAAATATGGAACTTTCAAAAGTTAAACAAAATTTAAGGGCACTATATCACGAATTACACGGTTCTGAAGTATTATTAAGACCTGCTAACTTCAGGGAAATACATTTTGAATACTTCCAAATTTTGAAAAAAAAAAGATTAAATTCAAAAACAAATATATAAGAAACTGAAAATTAACGAAAATCAAAAAGTTTACAAATTTTCGACAGTATGTGAAACTAAAAAAAAAATATTTGGAAGTGTTAAAAACTGAAATGACTGAAAGTATTAAAGGGAGGAAACTTTTCGTTAAGTTAAGAAATTAAAAAATTTAAAATATTTGGGAAATTCGAAAATTTCAGATCCTTGAAGGAATTTAGAAGTTCGCAAATTTTAGAAATTTGAATAGTTTGAAATTATAAAATTTGAACTTTCCCAAAATTTCCAGAGTTTCAAGCTTCTGAAACTCAAAAAGATCCACATTTAGATCTTCAAAATATCTGAAGAATTTGATTATTATATATTCTTCTAAAATTTGGCGGTTCAAAGCATTGAAAATGCTAGAAATTTTCAATACTTTAAAATATTCAGAAACTGAGAGTAAAGAAATATTCTAACAATAAAAAATGGTCAATTTTTGAAACTGCATAATTTTAAAAATTTCGAAATCAAGAAGATTTGAAAAATTTCTAAAATTTCAATTTATATAATTGGATCGTAAATTGAGAAAATATTATTTTTCTGCTGAGTAAAATTCCTGCTATCAGGAAGAATGTGATAACCTAGCCATGGTTTGGTACAATAGGCCAGAAGTGACCGTAGTACAAAGGACTTAGTCCCATCCCACTTACAATAAAAAGAAAAATAGCCATGTTTTAAGTCAGATATTTTTGGAAAGGAAATGTGAACAGAATATTACCACATGATCGCCCTACTCAGCTGCAAAAGAAAGAGGAAGAAATCTGTATAAAGGTCTGAATGTATCCAGTAATTCATTTGATTAAATATAGATGCTATTGTGGCAGCAGACTGCTATAATTTGAATATACTTGTGAATAATAACCAAGAGTAAACTGCCCTAACGCATCTATACAGAAACCTCTTAGCCACGCGATGTCCGTAACACAGGTTTCCACGTGCGTGTATTTCATCTCCATAAATAAGTAAGCCTAATAGAGAGTCTTTAAAATTGGATAGGTGTCATGGTCACTTAAATAGCAGCCTCTTATAGCAGAAACTTCCGTTATATTTGCGCTGGACTTTTAAAATATAATGCTGTTTGGTAACACTCGATATTATAGTTCTCAAGGAGGTCAACCCAACATTTCCTGATTGAGAAGCAGGGAGAACATCCAGCCTTTTCCCCTCGTTGCTTGGTTTCTAGCCTGTTCCATTTTACCCGACTTGCTTCGTTTCTGTTCCGCCACGATCGTCTCTGTGGGGGTTTGAGCGGAATATCTATCTATCTATAGCTCTACATCTCTTGTGGCCCTTGGCCGCTTTTTCAGTTTCTTAATCTATACAAAGTCGGTGGGACTCCTTGGACGGGGAATCAGCCGTCGCTAGGCCACTGCCTACACACACACAATACAAACACAGGATAAACGCAGACATCCATGCCTCTAGTGGGACTAGAACCCACGATCTCAGTGTTCGAGAGGGGCAACACGCTTCATGCTTTAAGCCACGCGGCTACTGTGATCGGCTTCATTCATATATGTAGTATTTCCAAATTCTGGCATGTTGGTATGTCTGGAATGCTCTTAAACACGCCAATACATAAAAATTATTGACATTGATACAGAGTGTAAGTAGAATGAAAGCTAATGAGTTGGGTTTCGTTACCACACCTAAATCTCTTTTCATATAACGCCAAGTTCTTCTTTTGTCTGGTACACAGATGCTTAACACATGTTAACTGCTTTCACTATTTCAAATCAGTGTAGCTACTATTGCTACTAATACCATTACTATTGCATCAGCTCTATTCATGCTATTTTTCCCCTTATCTCAATCCATTTTCTAATTTATGTTTCTATTCCCTTCTGTCCTCAAGTGTGGTTTTGTGGGGCCCTCATTTTTCCCCAGCTTCCTTCTAATGAAAAAAAAAATATTTCCAATGTTTTGTTATTTTGCTACATTTGAAGAGTTTGCAACTTTTTACACATTATATCCTCGTCTGGAGACGAGGACATGCTAAAAGCCTAAAGGTCGCTAGTTCGTTTCCCGATGAGGTCATCGAATTTTTCAGTTGACCTAATCCTTCCAGTCGCACTATGGAACTGGAGTCGACTCAGCCTGTAACAAAAATGAGTACCAGGAATTTTGCTGGGGGTAAAGGGCAGCCGGCTTATAAGGCTCACAGTCTCAAAGCCATCTGTGAGCAGACTCAGTAGTAAATGTGGTTGGCTCGACGTCTTACAACCCTATGGGCCTCCACGGCCTGTTACAGGGATAGCTTTCATGCCCTCATCTTTAATCATTTACGCGTACAAATCTTTCTCTCTACTTTTTCGTTCCATAACATTTTAACAGTGTATGTTTAGTATCCTCCTCCTCACCCGACACAGGGGGTATATTCATTTATCAGATCCTTTGTTATCCTTCTCAGTTTCCAGACCATTGCTCCCGAATATCTTACTAGTGACATTTGCTGTTGATGATACTTTTTGTGTAACGTAGTTAATGATTCTTTGGGTTGAAATCTATATAATAAAAGAAGGAAACAATGTTCTTCGATCTAGTACAAAGATTTCAATGCATTCTACTGCCCCCCACCATTCTTCATATTTGTGGTAGGCAGGCTTACAAATACAAGTATACTGTTGTCAAAGATAGATAGCTGAGATGTTAACACCAAATCAGTCGGAGTGTTGGTAAACAAATCTTCAGTGAGATATTGCATCTTCAATATACCCTTAGGATGGATACATTGAATTCCTCCTAAATGCTTGTATCTATCTACCTAGACTATACGATGCTCGGAATACAGATCTTCGTCGTTGTGGGCATCCCGAATCTTACATTAACGATTTCTGCTTTGTAATTTGTTAAATGTTCTTCATATCGATAGAAACTTCAAATAAAGTCATTACTTTGACCTGTAAAGGGCAAAGTGCTTAGTCAAGCATAAAGACACGAAGACAAATGAAAATGGAGATACAACTCCACACGTTCTAAAGAGTTACTGGTATCCGTTAGACGAGAAGCTGAAACAGCTCCGGCTGTGACTTGAGCTTCATGTAAAGTCAGAGTCCACAAACTTATGGACCGCGATTTGAACTCCATTGCTATTATCTCCTCAATTTTAATTAAACCAAAATAATTTGCTATATTATCACGTGCATTGGTGACTATAGACCGAGTGAATAGATTTATTGACCACTCAGATGTCATAACTATAAATAAATATTACATTATTTCTAATTTCCACACTACATATCTCTCAACACTAAGTTTTCTCAGCCTGTTTCAACCAATCTTTACTTGTTAACAGCTCTCCGTAATAGCTATTCATCTGCAGTGTCTCCACATGACGTTTTCTGGTAATGAATGTTAGCAATGGAGATTCTTTAGCTCCCGTTGTTCGCTGGTGAACATTCCACAGTTAAATCCTCAACTGAACTACAGCTCCATCTCTTCTCACCCTCCCTTGAAGAGTTCGGCTCAATTCAGCTCCTTAACTGACTCCTGTAGCGTCGGTTGTCTTCAAGATAACTCATCGACACGGAACCCATGGAAAACACTTTCTTCAGTTGTCAAGAATGCGTGCTTATTGGCTCATTACCTAGCAATGGATATATGCGAACCACATAGAAAACCCCTCTTGCGACACTGGTTCTATTGCTGCATGTGCGTATTTCGGGCGTTGCCTAGAAATGGGTGTACATGTCACAATACATTTATATCAGAATTTTCTTAGTGTAGTCACTTGACGCAGCATTCTTCTCCTGTATAACATGACACGGTATATTAAGCTCCATCCGTGAGGTAAATCATTTCTTTCTAAAGTTTTGAATCAGTTACGAGGACGTCCGACCATTGGTGTTTCTTGCTTTTGCCGTATGAAGCGTCTTAAAGAGGCTGTACTGGAATCATCCAATAGAAAGTTCAAGTGACTTTCAGTTTGACTCCTCTTCT